GAGCCTCCTAGGATTGTTTAGTGGTATTGGCAAGTCTGCACTCTCAAAAATTACCAAGGTCAATCAAACTCTGTACCTTGTGTGTGTTAGGTGTTTTTGTTTCATATCTTAAAATTTATCGTTTTACATATGTACTCAAAGTGCGGGCGTTTCTCCTTCATCCTCCAAAATCCGTTATAACTGGGATTTTACAATTATGTAGTGAAGTTCTACGCACGAGCTGTCTCGACCCTACCAAAGCTACCAATCAGATAATTAACGAATAAAGACTTCAGGATAGATATTTGCATTGGTTAAGTGCAGGTGAGTCCACGTAAATGTGTTACGTGTGAATACGATTAAAGTTGCTGACTAGTGAGGACTGCCGTTGGCTTAATCCGAGACCGCGCTTGAGGCCTACAATGCATGTTTATGACAAAGCATTGGCCTTGAGAATGAACGACTACTCGTTTATCGAAAGTACAGCCTTAGCCAATTAGAATGTGTGAGTAAGGGTGCGATTTTTTCAATGTGAAGAACTTATTTGTGTTGACGGGACCCTCAAGAAAGCTGAATGTAGACATTTCTCCGAGATTCCAGGCATTCCCAGAAGAAATAAACGCTTGGTGATCAACGTCCTTTTAAGTGATTAACGAATTTGAATATTAGTCACTTTAATTACCTATAACATAAAGTCCTTTATTTTGCAAAGAAATATTCTCGAGCTGTTCAGTTGCTATGCACCAAGTTCAGAATTTGAGATGGAAAACACATGAAGATATGGAGTCATTTGTGTGGAATAAGATCACCTTAAAAGTTAGTAAGCAGTTATACACTGAGCTTGTTTGACCTTCGCATAGCCTTCGCGATTTTTGCACAATCTGCAAAGGATAAAACTGATATTGCGTGGACAGATTTGATTTTTGATGAGTAGTCAAATGCAAAAAATGAGTTGTTTTACAATATTTGAAAACAATTTTCAATTTGGGGATTTATCTTATGCAAAAGAAAACTTACATAGTAGTTGTCGACGAGGAGAAATTAAGTACTCTCCCGTTGACGACAGGTAATAGCTTGACATACCCTCGGAGCGTTGGTATCGGCCAAATAAAGCGCACAAACGAAACCTGAAAAACGTTAACCTTTTTTTGCCTATTTTTGATGATACGCGGTAAGTTCGGCCCAATTTAAAAGCAACAATAACCTCTAGGTTATAAATTTCGGTGAGAATTTAAGCCAAAGTAAAGAAACTTACTGAAAAGACAGATAGCTCCACAAGATACGAAGATTTCCGTAATGTATTGCTCCAGTTTCACGAAGTAGACTATGAGTGCTCCGATTATGCTGCCGGGGGTCTTAATGAAAACTAGTTTCTTTTATAATAATGCACCGAATAAGAGGGAGTAGCTGTCTTCTAGCCTTAGCCATTTTAAGTGATTCATGGATGCAGAGAAGATAATGAGAGGAAAAATCCTCAATATTTAATTAGCAAACTTTATAAGCAGGGACTTTATGCAGTCCCAAAAAGTATTGATGATGAAGCAGGCGAAAAAGATGGGATGACAAATTTACATGCAACTTGTTCTGGTTTTCAGTAGCCATGTGACGTGATTCAGGATTTTATGGCTGATAGCATAGAAGAATGAAGGAATAAGAAATATGGACGTTATCATTGATTATTTTATCTCATTTTAAACACTCACAAATGCGCTGAAGACGATACCGTAATTGGCGGCAAAATGCTTGTGCCCAAAGGCGCGCGAAATTCCAAAGGGCAGTAGAACGAAGTTACCTGCCACACTGAAGTAGATGAGAGACACCCACAGAGCGTAGAGATACTTGCCAGTCACAGGAAGTGGGGGAATGAAGGGCAAAGTGATGAGAATTACACCGTAGAAGAGGTTCAAACAGCACAGCGGCACCTAAAGTTGCAAAACGAATAAATATAAAGTATCCTTCGCCCACCTCTGTAATATGTAAGTAATTGCTTTTGGGGGATGGCAGCAAATACCACTCGTAGAATATGCTCGTGGAAATTTTTAATAAAATACGGCAAAGATTGCCATCAAGGTCATTTATTAGTTGATGCTATTGAGCTTGCTACTAAAGTTAAATAAGTAACAGGTTAATCAATAATCTGAATTCGAGAGTAGTCGATTCTATTTTTGAGTGTAATATGACCGCTTCTGCTGAAATCAAATAATTGGGGAAGATGGATTACCTTGTATGAGAATTTATCACCCACTGGACCCCAGCCTACTCTAGCCAGGGTATTGAACACCGCTCCCAGTGTGCTTACAAGGCTTAAATACTTGTCGTCTGGAATTGATCGCTGACCCACAACCTGTGCAACAAAAGAATGCTGATGAAGTAGTTAATTCGCATCTTTGTGGGAACTACCTACATTCCAAAACCGATTCTTAAAGGAAAGTTTTATTACAAGGAAACTTCTTCAAAGAGAAGGTAATATTTAAAAAGTAATAAAATAATAATTAACTTTGTTGGCATTATATTATTTTTGGGGCACTTCCTCACACTCACCTTTATTGTAGCAGTGATGAGTGTCAAGGGGATGAGAGACAGGCACATGATGGCCCAGAAGAGATAGACATCAACTTTCTGAAGCACCTCCCTAGGAGACAGATCACTTGCAGATGCCTTTCCTTTCAAGGCTGTTTTATTTTGCGAAATCTCTCTATGATAAAAGGAGGGTATAAAGTAGTCTTGGCTAAAAAACTTATCGGATCACAATAATTTAATAATTTTCTTATTATTCAAATTAAATGAATTATGCCGATGACTCATTACGCGTTGTCCAAGATGAATGGATGAATTACGGAGATTGGTGGGTGGGCGAGTGGATACAGAATGGGAGGGCAAATGCCTTTAGCCTACCATCCACCTAGATATCAGATCAGATCTGTCACTCGCTAGGACCACGACTACCGCGCATGTTGTCAAGGTTAGATTAAGAGGACCTAACGGAAGAGAACTGACTCGTGCTATTAAACAACGTAGTGCATGTTCAGTTAATTAGCTAGTCACATGACTTTACAACAGCGAACCGCCTTCCGCACTGAATCCGTTTGAAAGGGTGACCCATCTCCGTAAATAACATTAAGTATCCTAATTTTTTTTTATTTTACAAAAGCGCAATAAGGTGAGAAACAAATCCAATAATCGCAATTTCAAGTGTGCAAATCCAGCAACAGTAGAAGTGGCATGAAACATGTGTATGGAAATCTCTTGAGTATAATTGGTAACTCACACGGAATTATCAGTCAAATCTTCAGTCACCTCCACGATCTGCGATTCCTTATAAAAAAAATCAACGTAAAATTGTCCTCATGGGCCATAAATGCGTATTACCCAAGAGAAAAGAAATGGATAAAGGCTTTTTTTTGGAGCGAGTTATTTCAAAAATCGTATCAATTTTTGCTTTTGCGCCAACGATGTGAATATAATTGTGCATTTATTTCGAAGATGCATGCAAACTGTAGAAAAAATACAGATTTCGCAGAAGAAGAAAAGATTACACTCCAGCAATTTGGTTGAATGGGAGTTTTTTGATGAACTCACTTCTTCTTCTGGTCTCGGACGAACAAAGATGCAGCCAAGCAGCTGAAGGCTTGCCATAATTCCACCAACTATGTAGAGGCACTTTGGAACACGTTGTAGCATCGTCTCGTCCTCGAACATTCTGTGATAAAGGCGAAAATACACAAATTTTTACAAAATGTATTTTTCGGGTTTCACCAACCATTTTTTAAGTTACTTTTTTCTCATAAAGCACAAATTGATTATTGTTTGTTTGAGGTCGGTAAATAGGCTTGTAGAGGTTATAATGGGAGGAATCGTATTGAAACTTACAAGATGCACCACCACTGTTTGAATCACAGATATTAATTCCGTGACAATTCATCACACAGTCTCCATTCATTAATTTATTAATGCTAGAGCTGAGGTTCGCATTAATTCAGAAATTTGCACTAGTTAAAAATGGTAAGCGGTTATGGTGCCTCGAGTCCCGTGGTTTCTTCCCTTCGACTAGTTAGTCACCCTCAAAGTTTGGGAATAAGAGTTTTCATTAAGGGGTGAAGATAAGTGCTACACTTATGCTCGATTTATTTTACCGAGGGAGAGCATTTCATTGCACACTGGACGTTGTCGACAGGTGTGTGTATGCCGCAGGCAAAAATTAATTACCATAAACTTATGCTGACTTTGCCGGTATGAACAGTGTAGAGCGTGATCACGAAAACAGTACAGTAGGGTTTGAATGTTCAGGAATGTGACTGTTGGATCCACTTATGATACTTTGGCTTTTGATTGCCTCAATTTCGGTTATTTGGATGGGTGCAAGTATCCGCTGACGACAGATAAGCATTAACTACAGCTTAGATTGACTCTCTATTGTTAGAAGGCAGACGTTTTTACGGCATGTATGCGAAGTCATTGATGAAAAACGTGCATTAATTATTGCAAGTCCCAAACCATCTGGCATCGTATACATAAGGAGCAACCATCATCCTCCCAGGGTAAAGAATTTTAAGGCGCAACCATCGACATTAAACTCAACGTTGCGCAAATCTCATAGAAGAGGACATTTTTGTGGTGGGCAAAGTATAACTTAACAATTCAGAAATAAGTGATTTCAAGTACAGGAAACAAGGGATTAAAAAAAGAACGATGGGGAGACTTACTGAGTAACATTGTTGACGGCAAGATTCTGTGGGTTGATGATGGCGGTTTGCAGGGGTGTAAGGATAATGGCGCCAGCTCCGAAGCCACACGCGCAGATTCCGACAACCAAACCGCGGCGCTTTGGAAACCACTAAAATAAATGAGTGGAGAAGATATGGATTTTTTGTTGACAGGTGGATGGGTGATTAGATAAACGGTAGGTATTTGATCGTATAGATAAATAAGGAAAAAGGAGAAATGAAAAAAGGAAAGGAAGAAATGAAAGAAGACCTACCGAAGCAGCCAAAGCGAGAAGGAGGCCATAAGAGGCACCCACTCCCCATCCCACCATGATGGCGTAAGTGGAGATCACCGCAGCGAAACCCACTTTTAGTGTCAATGGTGTCAGTAGGATTCCAGCACTAAAAACGATCGATGGCCATACATTAAAGTCAAAGTTTTAGTTAAATTCTAGTTGATAAACTTATGTGATCTCATAACAGAGAAAGCGACTGATTAGTCATACAAAACTGATCACAAGAATTTTGAGAACGTTCATGCAGTGAACAGCTAAGTCATTAAAGCTTAATTTAAATAATTTCCTTTATCCCACCCCTTCGACAAATATGAATCCCTTGACTTTAATGAACCATTTTAACTTCTGGAAGTGGCCTTAGTGTTTAGCCAAGACAACAAGGAGTTAAGTAAATTAATTACCAAATTAATTTAATAAATTACTAAATGGTTTAAGTTAAATTAATTAACATTTTAACAAAACCATTTAGAATGAAATACTAAGACGACCCAAACTTAGCATAATTTTTGAGCTAGTGTTTGAGACATCAAGACAGAACACCACCTCCATCCCTTACCTTGTCATTAAAAAAGAACAAAGGATCATATTGCAAAATGTCACTTTTGAAAAAGTTTGTGCAAAACATTGTACATACATATTTAGTCGATCCCAGTAAGATAACTCCTCCTGAAGTGTACGGAATTGAATATGTCGATTGTGTTCCTAGCCTTAACACCAATACATCACCTATAGATCTTACATTTTCATCCATCAGAAAAGATTTCTGTTGTAATTAATGCCAAAAAACCCCGAATCTTCACTGTTAACCAACACTGAGTAAATGTCGCACAAAATTTGAACGCACATGGAATATTGTTACTTTCATTTGGCATGTGATTTACGGAGTAAGCAATCTGAAGTTAGGAATTTACCCAGTAATTCGATGCATTGTAATTCACGTAGCTGACTACTATTTTGCAAGTATTTAAAAAGGATGTTTTTAGTACTTTTTTTGGGAGAATCAAATGTAAACCTATGAGACCATTTTAGAGATAGAGCCCAAAAATCAAAAGAACGCTGTCGAAAGCTGAGGCTACAAATGATTAGTTCATTTGAATTAGTCCACCCAAGTTACGTCAGAATGACGTAAGCACTCAACCAATGATCTCGACCTCTGGTCCCTGGAATACCTGTGTAAGAATTTTGACAAAACAGCAAATTCCTAAGCCATGCATTCACTTTTACAGAGGAAGATCCTGTACCCATCCCTGATTGGTTTGATCTAAAGAAATTTAATAAATGTTCCATCCTTTCTTTCTCAATCGAAACAAAGGGACTTTCCATTTCACCCGTTGTTTAAATGCTAATAACCTCGTTAGCCTACAAATTGGAACTCGGGTCGTTATGAGTATAATCGTCCTGTGCATCCTTACTGGCTCTACAGAAAAAAAATAATTTGCAAACTCATTCGGAGGTAAGATCCGATTCTACATTCTTTTTGCATGAAAGATGTGATTATTTGAGCGCATAAACTTCAAACTGACTTCCTATTCTGCAAGCTAGCTGATTTTGGGTGAAGAAAACAAATGGTCACATTTTTTATAAGAAAAATATGCTCCAAGAGGAGTGGGCAAAAGAGGAAGGTCTGCTTAAGTTAAACGTCACCATGCTATTCCAAAACCCCACTTGTGAAACCAATGCAAATGCTTTCACAGAGCTATGACAAGAATATGTAGTGAATTGATATAGTCTTTAACTGCTTTCAACTACCCAAACATCCCGGCCCCTTGTACAATAGTAGTGACGGTTCTTTCATGCTACTTTGACTTACTACGACTTTAGAGAGGGCTCAAGGCTCCTCTTACCAATATTAAAGCTGTTAGCAACAATTAACTTCTATTTATCACATTGCAAAATTAGCTACGGATAATCAAAGTAAAAATCCCATCACTTGAACAATGGAAGAATCCATAACTTGGAAAGTATGGAAATTAGAAACTACTCCACCGCTATAAATAAATGAATAAAAAGGCCGTTTTGATACCTCACTGCAATAACTTAAAATTATTCTATTTTAAAGACATTATTTTTTCTAAAATACTGATAATTTTTATGAAGGTATAATGGGGAGGGCGACTTCTTGCACCGGTGTTTTTGAGGCCATAAGTATACAGGTTATCTGGATTACAAAAAATCAATACATGCGGCCTGCACTTAACTTACCTGGTAAAAACACGCTAAAAATCGATGGTAATAGGCATTAAAGCATTGCTCTAAAGCGCAACTAGTCGCAGTGACTTGCCTGTGAACCATCCATGAAAAAAGAAGCAAGGGTCTGTAGCCAACACGTGAGATGAGAACAGTTGTGGTGGGGGTGGCGATGCCCTGGATGGCATGAAGACAGCAGGAGAGCCAAATGGCCAGACTGTAGTCAACGGTGACATCGGTGTACTTGTGCATATAGGAGGCCAGATAAGGCATTACGTTGGCTAGCGGTTATTAGGCAGGGGAATAGAACGCTCACTCACCTAAGGTTGTGAGGTGCCCTAAGGGGGCCAGACCACAGCAGGCCATTAGAACGGCAAAACACCCCTGTAAAGTGTCCCATGAAGTTCTCTTGTGCATCACGAACGAAAATACAACTAATTTGGATTGATTAATGCGCCTCTGTCTATAAACATGGCTTTTATATAAGCTTTGTTTTATGTGTATGTGCACGCTGGTGCGCATGCATATGTGCGCACGATTGACGATTTTGGTAAATATAAATAGTCAAAAATCTCTCTTTGCAAGCATACTTTCTTGAACCTCCAAACGTATGAATCTAATAACGTGGAGGGATTCGAGAATCCATCCTAACCTAATCATTTAGTAAGATATACAATGGATTCACCACTTTTTGGATGTAGCAAGTCGTCAGAAATTCCGGATGCCAAGAATACCACGCAACTACTACGTGACAGAGTGATTTACAGTCAATGGAGTACCACAATGAATCAGAGACCGCAAAAAGCGGTCTTCATATTACATGTCTTCATCAAGCAGTTTTCCATGTTGGGAATAATTACCTTGGTAGAAATCCAGGTCACTTCACTTCTTCACCCGATGTATGGTTTTCAAAAAAAGAAATTGTGATATATGAGGAACTGAACAAGATTGTATTTAAGTAGAACTGTCATGACAGGGTACATAGAACAGGGGAAGCACACCATAGTTATGACTTATCCTACTGGAAATATAATAAAAGTTTCACACCTGCAGCATTCGAAATGATACATCAGCCAATGGGAAAACAAGAGGTAGTGCTGCTTATCTTGAGTTCATTCTCACTTAAAACAAGAAGATACTGTCTCCTGTAGGGACAATTAATTATCCTTTTGTCGAAAATATCGGATGTATTGCTTGAAGTACTGTCCATTACTTCCCATAAAATGTTACTGTAAATCCGCTAACTCGACCGATCAGTAACAACGCAAACAGGAATTGGACCACTGATTCCACAAATAAATGAAGCTGGGTACTGCGCTTCTCGCGTCTTTCATCGCCAAATCAATCAATCAATCAGTCAGTCAGGCTGCCTTATGTGCCGACACACTGACGCAATTGAGCTAAATTTACATATGCCCTGGGATCGCATATTTGAAGTTAAATTACCTTTCGTAGATGATTGATTCTTTTACACAGGGGTAAGCCTTCTGAGTGAGTTACAAGAGCCTGGTCTCAAGGCTAAAATGTTTGACTCCAGAATGCACAGACGATGTTGTAAAGAAGCTCATATGAAAGGCAAGGCGCATTTTTAAGCAATCATCAAATCCCTCATCGACTACAAAACGTTAAATTCTTTACAAAATGCCACTAAAATCGTCGACTCCAAGTTTGCTTTAGTATCCGCATTCACATCTAAATTACTATCTATTTCAGATTAATATTCTGCCCATTAAATGCAAACACTTCTCTTTTAGACAAATAAACTAACCCCGTACCTCCAGGGAGATGATAACACAATTTAAAGAAGTCTTTTTAAGATTTAAAGTTATTGGCGATTGCTTAAATAAATGGAAGGATGTTTAGCAAATGCTGGCAGTTGAGAGATTAAATACAGTTTGAAACGTCTACCGAGTATTCATTTTGCAATCAAAAAACATACATGCGATATAAATTAGAGCATTGTCATTTGAATCAAACGAAAAGTGCTTAAAGATTTCATTAACAAATGTTAGTCTTCTGTCAAAGTGAGAGGTGAATTTTTGTACAGTGGCTGAATGCTGGGTAAAAAATTGGACGAAAAGCCAAACTGATGAAATCCAACTAAAAAGACATCGTTTTTCTAGAAAAGCATAACTGACAAACAGGGCATCGAGTCCAAAACACCCAGAAACTATTTGATCATATAGAGGTAACCAGTAGACATCAGAATGCTCTATTAAGATGTGAAAAAATTATTTAAGTGGTACTGTAACTGTTCTACAATATAAAGCGGCCTCAGGCGGACCAAGATCAAATCAGCATGCCAAGATGGGAATAAGAGTCACGTGTTCTTCAATGGATGAGATGTAGCAACTCACGTATTTGCTCTGTTCGGAAGAATGCGTTCAGTTATAAGACCCACATGCGTGCTATTCACACACCTTGTGGGATCTTCACCCTTCGTGAATAGCGCAGATTGAAAAGCTACTTAACGTGTGAGTGCATGATTGAGAGAATACAGTCAGAAAAATCACTAAGTAGTTCAAAAGGCAATTAATGTAATCAAAACGCATGCCGCTGCATGCTATCAACAAAAACCAATGATTATAAAGGATATGCTCCTTGTGCAACATCGTCAAGCAAACGGCCCTTCATCTCAAATAAATCCGTCCTTCCCAAAGAGCTTAAATAACAGAGAAACTGCGATATCTCGGAATCCCACCAAAATTTGTTCGATTAATCCTCGGTAAGCACAAAAGAAGCTCTTCCTTTAAGATTTATTTCTTCTGCAAGAAGTAGTGTTGATGACTGGCGCAGAAGAGTAATCACAGGGAGTATCAAGGAAAATGCTAAAAAATCGACAGACTGCAATGCAGAATTGTGTGGCATGATTATGAGAGTAGAAGGGTTAGTTTTGCTATAAGAGGTTATATATTGTGTTATCCTTTAAGAATTGTGCCTCCCCCAACCACTTGACTATTTCCGTCTAAATTCAAGAAGATAATTGGAGGATAGCCTATGATATACTCACTCCTTCAACAACCGTTACCTTGCGAAAATTCTTCTCATCAAAGGACTTCTTCAGTAAAGCAGTCAGCAAACCACCCAGAAAACCCAACCGTTCTAGTTGTGTTCCTCTCTAGTTGAAAAAAAGACTTAAAGTTTTCACCACGTTAATCTCAAATTTTTGTTGCCGGTGAGGATGTAAACCGTCTCAGGTCCACAGATATACCAGTCACGGTAGTATCGGCTCACAAAACCCACTGGAACTTTTGCTCGAGGATTTTGGTTTCCCGACGATTGCTCCTAGTCATGGGGAGTCCGTGCAGACTATGGTGCGTTATACGAGGCGCAGGACAGAGAAAGCAGGAAACGGGTCCAACAGTTTCAAGTTGTTCCAAAAAGAAAGTCTTGTGACATGTAAGCTCAAGCTGAGGTGGTGCTGGGATAATTAGCGCCGCGTGTTCGCCTTCGTTGTCCTAAGCCTTTGCTGCCCCATAGATCCAAGCCGAGCGGTAGTATGAGCTGCAATGAACGCTCGGAAGGAGCGAATGGAGATCTAGGGCGGCCACATGCGCGAGCAGCAATTTGACTGTTTCTCTATGCATGGCTAACCAACATTCGGCCAAGCACTTACTATATGCGAACTATTGGTGCTACTCATATTTATGTCTAAGCCACAATACAGCAAAGCATCAACAACTTTCACTACTGGAGAGATGCAGTTTTTTATTAGGAAGAATTGAGTTTCGTCCTGTACGTGATATAGTATCTATCTTTGGGTGTTTTATCATCACGTTGTTCCGCCATCACACAACATACCTTCCTAAATGTTATGCAAGTAAATTGCAGAGAAGTATGTGCAGCCATGAAGTCAAGTTATACTTGCTAATCTAAGTGGACAGCTTTGGGTCACTTGAGGTTTTACTATTAATGTATTTTTAATAACGGCATCGATCCCGATAGCAGAGGGTAATGACAAGCTGATATGGAATTATACTCTTTGATATATCACGGTCGTTTTTGTAGAAGTTTAATGGGGTGAAATTAAGCGAGTTGTTTTTATTGTGACATGTGACGACTCACTACAAAAACAATTATGGTACCAGATGAAATGTTGCATTTGGAAATACGTGGCGGCTTTGTAGTCTCTACTTTGGACTTTCTAACTTTAAATTTCTGCTGAAAAACCTTAAGCGTTTTTCTTAAACCCTTTTCCATTAAGAAAAATAGAAATATACAATTCCCTTTATTGCTAGTGGATAAAGGATAACCAATTTATTGTTTCAATTCCCATTAGCATAAGGTGGTTGAGAATATTTGCACCTGTATTGAAAGCTAGAACAGTTGGAATGGCTGCATTTGTTAAGTAATTTCACTAAGAAATACCAACTTATTGTTCCTTGAAAGCTACTGAGACAATGCAATGCGGGCAAAATCTAAGGAGTTTCTCTAGCGATGTACTCACTTATTCCAATTTGCTGAAACCGTGATAAAATGCTCCAAACGCTGAAACTCTACTAGGAATAATAAAAAAACACTATTTTCTCTACAAGGTAAGCACAAAGGACTGCAAATACACCTTCCTCAACTTGTGCATATGCAGCAGCACTAGTCCTTCTTGAAGTCCTAACGAGTCAACGTAGTACGGAACACACTACGCAGACATACAGAAGTCAGAAGGCTACTCGAACAAGAAAGGTAGACTAACTGGTGTGATATCACCTAGTTTTTGGCGTTATAGTACGAGACTGTTGTGTTTGCAAGCAAGAAGCAAAATTTATTCAATTCTTTCCCAAATATCAACAGTAAAAACTCGAGATTCCTACATAGCAAAGCGACCACTACCAGCTTCAAGTATGGATGACAAGTTTTTGCCAAAAAATAGAAGCTGTATGGCGCAAGTAAATACGTTGTGGTTGAAAAGGCAAAATAAATGTAGTATATTCTCTAGCATTATTAATTCAGCAAAAAGATTTGGACTGGGACTGCCGACTCTGCTCTGAGATTCTGGTTGTGAAGGTATTGAAATCAATAAAACGAATTTATTCTGTAATTCCGAACCCCATTTTTAACGTAATTGTAAATCTTTACCTGTATTATACTTTTATTTGTTCTACAACAAAAGTGTGGATTATAGGCCTTCGTTGACAAGATAACTTGATCATAGCTATGCTATTGTAATACTTATGTTGTTTTAATGTGCCTTTCAGGGAGGAGGCAAGCAGGAAATTCGAACCTGGTAACTGGATCGCCCTCTCCCTTACCTAGTGACTGCGGCTCCCCTCCTTCTTGAATATTGTATTTTCCCTATACATCTTGTCGTCTTTAATAAAGATGTCCAAAGCAAACCAACCGGGCTTGTCTAGGAACGCTAGGAATCGGGAAGCGGAGACTGAGGAGTCTCGCTCCACACTATTGCATCCATACACACGGGCTCACGCACTAGAACCGCTTTCTGGCCAAGTATAATACTTGCGCAGGTAATTACAAGTAATGCTTGGATACACTTGTTACGTATTATCACGAGTAGTGCTACCTCGTTAGTGCATCCATTTAAGGGCATAAAATAAAAAGTCCAAGTTTAACTTGAACTCCAAATTTGACATTCTATTACCACACATGTTTTTAACCATTCTAAATGTTTGACCTATTAATTTTTTATAGCGAATGAGCCAGCCCCGAAGGGCTTATGTAACCCACGGGTCTGGGATGTACAGAAGGGTCGGAAGGGTAGTATCACAGCTTCATGTCATCAGTATCGAGTTCAAAGTGAAGGAGAATGAAATCATGAGCATCGTCTTGTGGATCTCCGTGGATTACACTTCCACTTCCTTCCTGGCAAACTTGAAAAAAATAGGATGCGTGAACAGGGTGTAAATAAGCGAAAATACGCACGTCCTCTAAGTCACTAATATCTCTTATAGTATTAGTAAATTCATTGTGGCATTTTATTTTCGCGCAATAATGGGACCAAATCTGGTTTTCATACCCTTGAAACGACGATAAATGGTAAATCAAACTTGAAGTAAATCAAGGTGACCGATCTCCTCCAAAGTACATTCGAGTTAATTGCAAATTCTATTGTTTACACAAAGGCTAGCAAATAGAATGCAAGACCGAGATCAACTCAGAGCCATGTTACTTTGTTATCGCATACTTTTTTTGTGGGATAGACGAAGTTAACCGACAGCCGTTAGCTGCTCTAATGCGGAAGGAATAGTTTTAACCAATGCAATTATACTGGCCGATATATTAGTGCTTTTTAAAACTTATCGTAAGGCAAACAAAGCAATTTCTACTTAAAAATTGCAGGACTTGTTGAGGAGTGCCATGCATTCCAACATTACCGTGAAAAGTGAATAATCAACAGTTGGGGCGTATGAAAACAACAGATAAAGTACTCATACGGATTTTGATTTTTGGGCAAGTCAGCGATTACTTTGTTTGAAAGAATAGATTTGCAGGTAGACTACTCGACATAAGGAACTAGGCCTGTCAGGACCGCAATTTTCATTCCTTGAATGACCACGTTAAGGAATTATTAAAAAAAATATAATCACCGAAAATTTACAAGAAAGTTAACTGTTTAAACAAACCTAAGGCGTGAACTAATTCATGTTTTACCTGAAAGTTAACAAAGCAGTTGTAATACGATGGTGGTTTACCCCTCGGTATTGGTGAGGCTCCACTTTTGTACTTCTGAATTCGCCCCCATGTACCTCGCTGGGTGGGCTGGCCTTGGGGCAATGCCAGTAGCCCAGGCACCTTCTCTGTGTTAAATGCATATTCTGCCCAAGTATTGTGTCCTCTTTCGGCTTCAGGGAAGTCTCGGGACGCCACACAGTAGTGTGTCGCAGTCCGATGCAAAACTTACTAGCAACAAAATCATAAATGCAAATGGTTAAAAAAACAGTAGCAGATATAGGGATATTTATTTTACTGAGCATATCTTCATCTCGTTGACTTGATAGTTAGTAAGACGTTTAAATTTGGGCTGAGAAAATTAATATTAAGTTTTAATTTAAAAAGTTAAAACGCTATGCAAGCGTGAAATTTTAAAAGCAAACATTTTTATTATTGTTAATTTGCCGTCAGGAAGATTAAAAAGCTATATTGGGTCAATTAAAATACCTACCACCATTGTTTAAATTGATCACTTTCAGAGTCAAATTTGTGCACCATGTTCTTATCTTTACGTCCTTTGAAGGAGCCTCAGGTGTATAGTCACGTCTGTATGGACTAGTTTTTGAACTATGCCCGAAATTGTTGCTCGAATGTACGTACACTCCTTACGCTCATCGAAAACCCATTTCACTACAGAAAAGGTATTAAAATCTCCCTGCTTCTTTGCCGTCTCCTTGCAAATGTATTGCATTTGTGTTTTCATTGATTTCAGCAATCCCATGCAGAAATGCTGGCCCAAAAAATAGTTGATATGCTTCCCAGATCCTCAATGTCGAGGTCATTATTCCGAAGCCTCGGCATTGAATGCAATGTCGACAACCCGTTGAAGAGTATGTAATTGATTTGTCTTTTGGTTTGTTCTTTATATCCGTTTAATAACTCATTAAATCTGCAGGCTCTGGCCCTCTGTTATGCATTACTGGCACCGCTCACAGCCTTCCTGATTTGGTGAAACGGGCCTGCAGTCCCACATCTGTCTTTCTTAACTCTCCTACCTCCGTACCTCAGCCAGAGCCAGAACGATCGCGATTGCACGATCGGTCTCGTCAGTCTGTGCCGAACCGGATTTTGACGAATATGTCCGCATCACAAGAAAACACCCCACCGTCCCTAAAGCGTTCAGCCGTTCGTCCTGATGCCAACACTTCTACTTCTGCTCCCTGTGGGGTTGCTAATCGTCGTCGAGGCATTGAACCTCGTGTACTTAGACCTCGAGTCACACTCCCCTCCACGTGGAATCAGCGCACCACCTCCCGGTCTAGTTCCTCGCCAAAACATGGTAAACTCTTGAGAAGATCATCACCTTGCATCCTATACTCGTCCTCTAACTACTACCAAACTCATTTTGATATCCACTCATTCATTCCTCCGGAAGACTGGGCACGAAAGCAAATCGAGGGTGGGTAAATATCTCATTCAATAGCATTTCATTTGCTCATCTGATTTAATTATCTGCTCAATTCTCGTTGCCTGTAGTTCCCTCCTGGCGAATAAATGATGTCATTACGGAGCGCTGCGGAGGGGAAGCGGGTGTATCACGTGTTCTTCGGTCGCGAAATTCGCAGCTCACCCGCACACAGTCTCTGAAACGATCTCGCCCACCCGAAGACTATGAAGACACGTCGGACGGTGTCTACATGTCTCGACACGCTCGCTTAGAAACGCATGAAATCAAACGAGAGCGATTGTCTGACCAGCGTACCGCGGAGGAGGAACTCCGTTTGCGAATTGAGTGGAGAGAACGTGAGAGCTGGGTAAGTAGTGTTCTTAGATTAGGAATTGTTTTCTATATTTGTACTGAACCTCTTGTTTTCCCTCTTTTGTAGCGCAAACGACAAGCTACACGAGTGGACAGTTTCATGGATATTGACCCGGAGCGATTTATGCCGACTAGTTTGCTGGAGCCCATCAGCAAAGGTGTGTCTTCTTGCCCTGCGTGTTAAAAATAATGTACGGTTATGAATCTCACTAATTCGGTGTTTGTCCTTTTCCAGTACGGTATATTCACGTGCGGAGTGATATCCCTGTCATCGCTTTCGGCGTGAAGGTTCCTAAGCCGGAATTTGGGTAATTTTGCCCGTTACTCTACCATTTTTCGTGAACCAATTACGGCGAATATGGCGTTTATGAGTCTTTTTTAGATCATTCTCACTCCCATGATGTGTCATTTCACGTGTAATCCCTCAAGTGTTCACGGGAATGATAGCTGTCTTCTTTAATGGAAGACCGGAAATGTGGCAAGATTTTTGTCTGCGTGTGCATATTAGTTCGGTCCAATTTTATTGCTTTTCTCTCTACATTGAAGGCTGTTACCATAACTCTATCTCCATCCGCTTTATTAATATTCCACTGCTTTATTGAATCGGATGTACATATCCATACAAATTATCCCAAACTCTTGAGTTGACCACAAAATTTTTATTTTTTCGTCCAGGAATAGTGCGGCGTGACGACTCAAGTCCAAGAGGTGGGCTGAAATGTGGTTGGTTCGTAAACGTTGGAGTGGAATTCTACGCTCGGCATAGCTGTCTTGTGTGGTTGATGGCGGTGTCGTATCAGCTGTGCAAGCGGGGGCGTGAATCACGCACGCCGGTTAGTGATTGGTTAGGAGGGTGGTTCTCAAGGTCACCACACCCCGGAGGAAGCTTTCTGGTTGGTTACTTCAAGGGTGGCAGATGAATGCCTTCATATAAGTTGGCGAATGCCCTTTGGTCCGGACTCAAATGGGGCTGAAATCGCTGATGAGCCACTTGTTTTAAATCTATTACTTCGCTAAGGGTAATGCCGGAGAGTTGATGTTCAGCGTCGCAATTTCCTCACCGCTCGAGTGCCCCCTCTGTTATTCAATTGTTGAGGATTAATGTCTATAGAATAGACTGCTTTTTATCCGTTCGGTTAATTAAGATCTGTGAGTCAGCAGCTACGTTCGAGGGGTGTGTGCAAGTATGGGATAGGATGGGTCGTAGTTGGCTTTTGTGCTGCAAGGTGTCGTCTGTCTACAGTTTTTCATGATTCAAATGGGTATTAAATGCGGTGGGGGTGGCATTTGTACGGGCTAGTCAGAGGGCTGAACTAGTTTATTCGATTCTGTGATATGATGTGTCGCAAAGTAGTGGATGGTGCCCTGCACCATCGTGCTCTCGTTGACAGTACGCTGGCGTCACTCATGATGGAATTACAATAAGTAGAAAAAGGACATAAATAGCCTTATGTGACATTACAAAGACCTCCAAGTTTGCATGCATCTTGGTGAGAATTATTTAAAATGGAAAATAAAAAAGATTAGGCTGCGTTTGTTGCAATCACAACAAAAGTCGAAATTATTTTATTTAATCTTGCCAAAGCACAAAAAAGGATTGCACAGAAGTGCTTTTAAAGTCCCTGCCGGAGAATTTAAAATATCATGTTGAATAACCACCCAAAATAAGGGGAAAAAATATACAATACTTGTTAGCATTCAATTTATAGTTACTTAAGGTTAAAGTCACTATTTTATTTGTTTATTTGGTCCCTCGCTCGAGGTCGAGCTTTCCCATCGTCTAAAGCCGCATTGGTGATAACTAGTATGGCCTTGAGTCAATAACTAATATATTTCGTTCAGTCATCAGGTCTGTACCGTTTCAAACATCCCGAGCCATTCAAAAGCCCTTGTTTGTTCGCTATTGTTTATTATCAAAGTAGTGTGATGTTATTAAATGGTTTAAAGGGGCTACCTGTAACCCTAGGGAAAGATCCTTATTCGGTCTTCTAGGGGTTTCTTTCTTCGTGTTTAATTTCGGAACATCCCGAAGAGCATTCTTCTGCTCCTCCTTGGTGATCAATAACACCTACAGATAAACTTTGAGTGAGTTAATAGTCACTATTGAGCGAAGGCCAATCAAAATACTTCGAATGCCCTAGGATGGGACTACTCTATGAATTCGTCAGCAAGCTCGTAGTCAGGTTGACATACTTCGCACCTTCAGCTTGCTCAAATCGGTCGGCTATCAAGACTAACATATTGAGCTTGATCTCTTTAATAATCCTGCTTGGGAACCGGATTAGATCAGTGTTTACCCACGTAGGCAATGGTTTATAACAATTGCAGACGCAGGCGGGCATCAGCCGGAATTGATGAATTTAAGACAGATGGTAGGTTTGACTTCGTCCATTCATTCACCCGCAATAGTCGGACCATTAATAGAAGGCCTTAATGATAACATTGGTCCAGTTTCTCTATAAGGTAGAGGAAACAGCTGCGGCTGATTAAAGGCTTAAACGGTATAAGGGCCTGTTCTACGGCACATTAAGGGTCCACCTTCTACTTCGCAAAATAGGTCCAGCAGGATTTAATTAATGCTGAATCTTAGTGCTGCCGCAAGATTTAAGAGAGAGCCAAGTCCTTTAAACAACGTTTTGGTGACCAGTCGTCACTTTTTACTTTCCATTACAAACATAAAATTGCTTATGCATGAGACCGCGATTTTTGACACAGGGTTGAGGCGTGAATGACGCCTGCAAGCGACTCAGGTTCAAGATTTCAAGCGACAGCCAATTCAAATAATTTTCTTCATTCGAAGTCTTAAGTTGCTCAAATTAGTAAAATATTGAAGTTCGCCCATCGAGTCGTTTTAAGGAGACATTTGCTGACAAGTATAAACACCCAAAGGGTATGCAGCATGAGAGCGCTCTGACATAGCCTAAAAACAAGTTAGTTTTTAGGTTCATTCTGTACATCAGTTCGACCAATCTGGCCTGCTAAAACCTAGTGCGACCAGATCTGGCCCACGCCCCAAAAGTCGAAGCTGTGGCGTTAAAACCAGGGAAGCTCATTTGCTCTGATAGAAGCGCAGGGCCTAAGCCTCTATTACATTCTATTCTACAAGCAACATCCGTGTCGGGAGTGCAACACTAGCGGTCACAAACATGGGTACTGTCAACTCCGCCCATTCATTCCTAATCTGAACACCAACAAAGGAGGAAAAACAAGAGCAAAATAATCAAAGAAATACAGCCTGGTTTGTAAAGCCAGCTCACTGTTTGTCTCAATGACACTTCCATAGCGACATCATTTCGAACCTACTCTGATATCTCTGGTCGGATAGACATTTTGAACAACCACTAGTTTATGCGGTGCCTAAATGAATCTTCTTAGACAGCTTCAGTGCTGCGTTTACTTCCGTGGCACATCATTCACAAGAACATCACAGAGTCAAACCTCGACCCACTTGGCTTTGACTGGTTCCACCGGCTATGTCTGGACCATGTACCCACCCAAACCACTTGCAATCAAAAGCGTTCAGTGGGAGTCGTTCATGAGCAGTCGGTGGCAGTTGTCAAAAAGATTGTCTTAGTTTTCCACTTGACGCATGGGGTTAAAAATTGTCTTCTTCCAACACCTTGACCTCAGACAAAAGAAACCATGATCACAACTCTACCTCGGCTTTACCAGTTTAATCAATAGCGTCTTTTGTCTTTCCAAAGAAGCCAAGAAAGCATCTGCAGCCCCTCTCACGGCCGCCAATAAACTATAATTACTTCGCTTGTTCTTCTGTCATCACGTATCCCTAAAGTTGTTGGCAACCGATAACAGGACATAGCTCCCTTAGCAGAAGTTTCGTGACTTTTGCTGTCACTAGGCAATTGTGCAAACAGACCACCCACCTTTTCATCCTCAATCCAATGGAGAAGCGAAACGGCTTTTTCACATGTTTAAGCCAGCACTACTGAAATTAGGAGAGGAAATGGTAACTGCTGACATTTCACAGAGGTTCCTACTGCCTCATCAGACAGGTCCAAAAGGTTCCATCTGAAGTCAATAACTGCCAGTCCAGGTGCTAATGGAATGCAAGCTTCTCTCGTACAATGCGATGTTATTTCCTAGGCCTCAAAAGAACTTCAAAGGGCGTGTGTCGTAAGCCTCAACGAAGATCAAAGTATGCAATGACTTCTTCGCCCGGGATTATTGCCTAAATAATAATCAACAAATTGTTGGAAAAATTCTTGTCGCGGGAAGGTTATATTTGATGTTTGAATAGAGAACGACAGCTAAATAAGGAATGAGAACCGACTGAACCTGCTGCACGCTGAAGAACCAGTGACCCAAAATAGTATTCGATAGATGGAAATGTTGCTTTATCCTTCGTCCTAAAGCCGCGACCCTTTTGGGGAAGGCGAAGAACGATTATTTTGCGCCATTTCAATGCGCAGTTTTAAAACGTTCATATCTGATTAAATCATTAATCTTATTAAGTAAATACTGAATGACTGGTTTTTATATGAAACTGAATCAAATTACCAGATAGTAAGCACTTAGATAGATCCAATAGATGCTAACTTAGACTAGAAGTAAACGGGCTTAATGCCTAGCATTTTTAGCTCATTTTATAATTTCTACTTGATAAATGTATTAGTAGGACAGTCGGAATTAAATGTATTTGGTTGCGTAAGGGTTAATTACTCAAGAAGAGTGGGCGATGGTAGAATCGAGAGGATCAGTGTTTGCATGAAGCAGTTGCACTATAATGCTTTAGAGCTGATGTTTCGAAAATTTGACAGGTCCATTTTCAAAGGTGGACCTAGATGTAAGAAATTACGATTATAAAACGTCGACTGAACCAAACGTGTCCCGAGTTTGCCAGCTTTACGATTCTGGTTTGAATTTTTTCCAAGGTTACAGAACCATCTTACAACAATTATTGGATTACAAATGAAGAAGGTGCTATAGTAGGACAAGCTTCCATCTAAAGTTCTTGGAAACATTGTTCTAGTAGTGAATCATTTGTAAATGAATGCTTAGAGCTCGAGATGAATTTCTACTCTTCGCAATAGGAATTTTAATTTCACCATTTCAATGCTTCACTGTGTGAAAAATAAAACAATTTATTTACAGCTATACCGTCTGAAAGGCAAAAAACGGGCGCCACATGCATGAAAGTAAATTCTGAGGTTGGAAATGATTTTAGCAATTGAAAATACCCTCATTGATATTTGCTTTTTTCCAAAAAGGTACAAGATACCTGAGTACCTGGTTGCGGTAATGGAGAACTTTGCATTTATGCTACTTTTATTATACAGCTATACAAACTGATT